ACCTTTCACCAGGGAGATAACTGTCCTGGCATTTCTTGGGGATTCCCTTGCCACAGGGAGTCCCAGCAGGCCACCCTTCCCCGGCAGGGTGCAGTTTCCAGTCATACCCAGGACCAGGAGCCTCCTACCATCCCCATAGCTCCTGCCCTTACCTCCAAGATGTTCCGGGAGCAGTGGCTCAGCTGGGTGTTTTTGCTCTGACTGCCAGCAGGAGACTGCTGCTCTAGCCCTGAGAGCAAAGATCTAAAATGGCTGCCTCATCAAGGCTGGCCTGCACCTGCCGGCTGCTTGCTCCCAGCCCTTAAAGTGACAGACACTGAAAAGGTGCTCTATCACATCATATTTATATGGCACCAACTCCATTGAACAGGACATGTCATGAGGATGCCTGACAACTGGCTCCTGAAACAGATCTTACACACCAATAGTCACCGCTCTAGAGGTTGGCAAAAGAAGAGATTCAGGGCCCATCTGAAGAAATGCAATACCTCAGAGACTTGAACACTGAATTGTCTCCAATGATACCATGATGTACAACAAGACATTGACCATTTTGAGCAAACTTGCCTTACTACAGAAGTGAATAGGTAAGAGAGACAAAGGAAAGAGTTATGACCTGACATTTTCAGCTCCCACTCCTTCTGGAACTGTATGCTGTGGTGACACTTGAACATGCAGATCTTGAACTGGTCTCTACAGTCATGTCCAGACTCAGTGATGACTTTGCTATCTACTGGAAGACTGTCATTCTCATATTGGGGAACTGTCAACAACCCTGAGGGGTTCTTTCTCTTCCTTAATGGTCTTCAGAATTAAAAAGTTGGAGAACCACTCCTTTGGTGTTTTCAGTTTTGTCGAAGAAAGGAGAAGGTTGCTTTAGTTTTTCAGAATATGGCAGGGTGGTTTATTTGACTTTTTCAAAGTTGATCATCTAATACTCACACTATATATAAAGAACATGCATGTCATGGACTGTGTTCACACAAATTACTTCTTAAAATTACAACATACTATCCCATTTGAACCCACATGTTCCCTATCTAACCACCCCCTCTCAAAATCCTGCAAAGATGGGCATTTTTGCATGCCCTAAATTCAACAGGCTTGATCGACTGTGTCTTGTGGAGAATACATATTTTAAATAAATATTGCATACTCATTCCCTTCTTATATTTCTTTCCTTTATTTAAATTGGTAGTTCACATTAAAACTATGCAGGAGATAATCAACCTGAAATATAGACTTAACTATACATTTATTGCCCAAGGCTTGAACATGAGAGAGAAGGTGTCTCTTCCTTTCCGTATCAACCCCCGCCGTGACACCGTGGATCTATCAGTGTCCCTTGTCAAATCAATTGAATTGTTGAACCAAGTCACAGTTTGAATGTGTATGTTGTGTGACAATCATGGAAAGATTGAAATAACCCATGGGTGTAATGGGTTTAATCCATAATCTGAATTTAATCCAAGGGGTTTGGCAGGTGAGGGGGTTTTTTGACCCCTTTGAGTTGCTTGACAGTACAAGGCACAAGTTGAGTTCTGTAGGGCATTTTGAAAAAAGAAACAGTCTCTTTGATCAGTACATGGTTTCCCTTGGCAACTCTCCATGGCAGGGATAAGTTTAGTACTGATAGTTAGAGTGACCTCCTTTCCAAACAACACGCATCACAACCTCCCATCATCCTGGACAGAGAGAGGGAGTGTCAGGAAGTTAACCTTGTGGTGGGTGTCCTACAAGTTTACACCTCCCACCCCCTTTATCCAAATACCTTTGTGTCAAAAGATGTCAGCTGCATGGTCTAGATATCTGGAGGAAATGCATCTAAACATAATATTTAGACTTCACTAAGTTAATGAGCTTTAAAATCAGTCTCCTCTAACTCATTGCAAGACTCAAAACAGTCAGGTAACTATTAAAGGTCCATCCAGTGGAGAGCAGCAAATTTGATGACTGACCCTGTTCTGCTTTTCTACCCTCTTATGAGACTTATCCACTCCACCTCTGCAGTTGAGAGCCCTCTGATTCATACAGCTGATGGATTTTCTTTGTAACTATGTCACTAGCTGCCAGGTCCTTCTTTTCACACCTCTGAATACAGAGTAAATACAGACAGAACAAATGATCTCTTTGACTCAACCTTCTGCTACTATTCTCATTAGGCTTTTGTTAATCATTCTGACTCTGGCTTTCCTCCTCTTTCCCCTCCCAGCACTGGGGATTTCAAGGTTCAGCTTGCATAACAGGTAATAGCAGGCATTTCCTTCTCCTGTGTCGGGATATCCTGGCGCCCTTCAGTCTCTCTCTGACTGTGTTTAAAACAGACTCCAGCATGGGGGGGAAAAAAGCAGAGTCTAAAATTAGCAGCCTTGATAGAAGAAAGGCACACGGCTGTCCACTGTACTGTTTGTCAATGAAACAACAGAGCTAAACAGGGCCAGAATGCATTTCCTCTCTGTAGAAAACAGGCATGCTGAGCTTTGTGGAGGAGGGGTCAGAGCAAGAGAAGAGCAGCCATCATACTGAAGAGAAGAAACGACTATACAAAAAGACATCCCACAGTTTCAAAAGCAGTGTGCTTTGCTGCTATCTTACATCAAGAGACTATGCGCAGATCTTGTTGCACAAAGATTGCCAATTTGGCTATTGGGCAATATTATGCTAGTTCATGGGGTCCCACCATTCCTGCAAGCTGGCTCCATTACAGTGAGAAGAATGTATCGCTATGATCTGTGTTTCCTCCAGAACTTTCTCTTATTGAGTATCTGAATCTTTGCATTCTTGAAAAGGGGGTCTTAGCTATCTGACTTCAGTTGAATTGAATTATAATTGCTGTGGGAAAGATGATTTCTTGGTCTAGACTCTAGAATCTAGAGTCTAGATTCTGAAATCCTGGTTTCCTCCAGGGATCCAGATGGATTTATGCTGTTCTAAATCTTCTGATACAGATTTACAGTGAATGCAGCAGAGGCTCTGAAATGTGTTTAAGTAAAGGTTCAAAGTTAAGATGCTCTAACACTACATTATTATTTTTTAGTTTAATTATATGTTTTGGGCCTGATCCTTTAAGGCCTCTGTACTTGAACTACTGCTCAGCAGTGGTTACTAGGGCTGTGTGAAGCTTTGGGTGCTGATTTGATTCAGAGGAGATTCAGCCCAATTTGGTGGCCAAATCTCCAAAGCTGAATCAAATCAGGAGACCAATTAAAATGTCTGAATCGATTCAAAGCTCTCCAAATTGATTTGGAAAAGATTCAAAGAACTTCAGCAATTTGGGCAGTCCCTGCTCACTGTAGCAGGGAGCTGGACCCGGACTGCATGCTAGTAAGTAGGGGGCAGGGGAGGGGACCATGGGGGAACCCCTGCCAGGCCCCATCCCCTGCCTGCTCCCCCAGCCCTGCCCCTGGCTGGTCCGCCTGCCTCCGCTCCCCGTTGGTTTAAAAC